CCAGTCATCATCCATTCATTGTTTACACCATGTGGTCACTGAGAAAGCACACACATTTGATATTGTTCACCCAATCAGCACAGATTGAGCTCAATCAGCACAGATTGAGCTCAATTAGCACAGATTAAGCTCAATTAGCACACAGCTACCCAGTTGGAAACAAATGTATGCATTTGTTATTTCTTTTGTGTCCATCATGTGAAAAGGTTTTTGAGGGGGAGAACCACAAGCAACATTACTTATAACCAGTTTGTGTAGTATTGTTTTGAATTTATGTGTGTCAGACTTTGTTGTAGCGTGTGTGTGTGTGTTTTTGAGGGCCTGTGTGTTATGTCTGAGGGCAAAGTTTGGTTTTTCAGCAAGATTGAATGGTTCTGTTTTTTAAAAAACAAAATTATTTATTTGCTGCCTGAGGCTCCGTGGAGATAGCTTGTGATAGCAGTGATGGCTGAACTCCCACACATCAGACAATGACAAGAAAACATCCACTGTGCTTTATTCTGTATTTGCATTCCCATTAGCTTCTACAAAGTGGTTGCAGGGTCCAGATAAAAGTGAAGTGATGTGATCTTTGTGGCTAATACTTTAGTCATGTGGATTGATGAATTATGATGATGGAAGTTAACCTAATGATGATAATAATGATGATAATGATCATCATCATTAGGTTAACTTCAGATGATGATGCTGATGATGGGTGACAGCAAGGCAGAACACAACTGCAGCCCCTCTCTCTCTCTCTCTGTCTCTCTCTCCGTCTCTCCCTCTCCATTACTGGTTGTAAATATCAAAATCAATACAAATATTTTTTACCAGTTCTCCAGCCTTCTTCCTTGTTTTTTCCTTCTCTATGTCTCCCTTATTCCTCCATCCAGAAAGATCACATACCATATAATCTAATCTAATCTAATCTGTGTGTGTGTGTGTGTGTGGACACCCGTACTGTTGGAGAGATATGCTCTTTGTCTGTTTTGTATTTGTACGTGGCAGTATTTTTTAATAAATAGCATGATATCTTAAGAATTTATGATACAGAAATAATTACTGGGACCAAACAATAAACAATGTCCTGATAGCATAAATCATTTCATTATGTGCTACCCAATTGACAGGAGAATCCATAACTAAAAGCAATTCAGACTGCATGAGAGCCTTACTGCATTATATTCCATTATATTTTTGAATTTTGAATTGTCAGGAAATAAAGTGTTTAAACTTAACCTCAGACTCCCAGATTAATATTATTTTTTTTTATTAATCTATCATTTGTAGTAGTAATAACAGAAATTATAATAATACATTTATTTAAATATCACATTTGCTTCATGACTTATAGGACGAAAAACATTGAATACACACATGAAATTAATGGTTTAAAATCAAGGTGATGACTTAGGCACATGGCATAACAAGTTAGCAGCAGCAGGGGTGAGGGTGCAATTATCAGGTGAAATTGTGATGTTTGAAGATCCTAACAACGCCCCTGTAAGGTACTAGGAGCTCTTTAAAATAAGATGGCGCCGCACCTGACTACCTCCTACCTATTTCTAGGAAAAACGCCTAAAATCAAATATCCAAAATAAATCAGTAATATCTCCTCAACCATTAGGCTTAGATGCATAATTCTGGTCTCCTTTGAAAGGTCAAAAGCTAAGGAATATAAATCCATTGTAGATTAACATATTTATTTTACCATTACAGACTACATGGATCTGAAATACAGAAAAAATATAATATTTTCATCCTCGCCTGGTAAAAAAAGCTTTATTTTGATGCAATAAACCATCAAAAAGGACTATAATGCACCTGAATATCTTCTAATACAACTAGAATACAACTGTAACTGTAAATTTGATGAAAAGAAACTGATATACAGTTATTACACAATCTTTCAATGTCCATGTTTTGGCCATATTTACTGTTTATATGTTCACTTTTATTGGGAGTTATCTTCAAAACATTATTTCTCTCCATACAACCATGTTCCAAACAACATAAAGCTTCCAAAACATTGAAATATTGATAAAAAACAGTCAATATAAATGACCAAAAGCACTCCCATGCTTTACAGGCCCACAGCTTGAGAACAGAACATCCTACAGTGCTGTGGGTGGGCTCATTTTGTTCGTCTTGACGAGCTCCTACGGGTCGCCAGCAGAGACCGATAAAGATCGCCTCCGCCAAATTACACTCTTCTTTGGCTCTCATACCTCGTGACACAAACGAAACTTAAGAACGCTGCCGACCTCACCAAGATGGCAGCCTGCCAGACAATCTCTGTGGACACAAAGCGCCGTAGTTTTTGGACGGAAAACAGCTAGAACAGCGAAAATCGATTACGTACCCGGTACCGGGTCAGTCCGTTCCCATTGCGATAAGGGCTCTGTAGGGAAGCAGAAGGATTTTAAATTCTATTCTGGATCTTACAGGGAGCCAATGCAGAGAAGCTAAGACAGGAGAAATATGATCCAGGTGGGTCCGGGGTGGTCTGGAAACCAGTCAGCATCTGGTGTGACCACCATTTGTCCCAAACAGTGCAACACATCTCCTTCGCATAGAGTTGATCAAGTTGCTGATTGTGGCCTATGGAATGTTGGTCCACTCCTCTCCAATGGCTGTGCGAAGTTGCAGTCAGGTCGAGACCCTGATGAGGACGACGAGCATGCAGATGAGCTTCCCTGAGACAGTTCCTGACAGTTTGCGCAGAAATTCTTTGATTATGCAAATTGATTGTTGCAGCAGCTGTCCTGGTGGCTGGTCTCAGACGATCTTGGAGGTGAAGATGCCAACACGTTCTCACTCCTGACTCGTCACATATTGACGCTTGGTCAAGGCCCTTTGCCGTCGCCTTTTAACAAACTGGGTAGCCCTTTTGCATCATTTATTGACCTTTAGGGCTGCGTGGTCAAGTTAGCAACGCTTAGCAACAACAAATATACATCTTCCGGTAAAGTTAGCAACAATAAATTTACACTTATAATAAATAAAATGCGTTAAATAACATTGCCATTTTGAAACAGCGCGATATTAAAGTCGTGAAGCGTTGCAGTTTGGTTAGATTTAGCCTCAACAAATTCTTGGTTGGATTTAGGCAACAAAACTACTTGGTTAAGGTTAGGAAAAGATCATGGTTTGGGTTAAAATAACTACGTACGTCAGTTAACATTGCTTACGTCAATTTACGTAACTTGCCTAAATAAAAAAAGAATATTTGGTTTCCCATTATGGCCTGTAACTGCCCTCGGTGTTTAAAGCATAATGCAGAGAGTCTTTGTTCTTTCTTTTCCTCTGTATCCAAATACCGTAGTGCACCGTGAAAACTATAAAGATATACAATTAGATATAAACATAAGTACTTTTATACACATATTATCCTAGCTAAAATCAAACATGCTACAACAATGAACCTAATTAAATACACAAATTAAACGACAGTCACTCTATACCAATATTATATATCTATATTCTACACAATAACCTTTAAATCACACACTTAATACATCAAAGCTAAATGGCTCTCACATAGCTAAACAACTTTCAACAATAAACATGAACACTTCACTCCCACAGCACCTGCACATAGACAACTATACACACCTCATTCCGCTTCTCAAGGGACTGACTTATTACCATCTTCAATAAGTTGGCGTCTCTACCATGTGATTCGAGTCTGATTGCTCTGCTTGTGTTTGTGGTTTTGTGACCAACCGTAAACTGGTAAGTACGGGGTTTATCTACAGTTATACAAGAGTTAGTTTAGCTTAATGGCAGAAATTATACTGTGATCTGCCCATGTTTACACCATAATCCTAATAAAAAACGTCTTTTACAATCTTTAAAATCAATACACCTTAAAAGGACTCCAAGCGGACAGTTCCATGGCCATTTTATTAAATGATCTGACCTCCAGTGCAGTGGATTGGTAAACTTGGAACAACATTTCCTCCTTCCAATTTCTTTCCATCCGTATCCCATCCCATCTTGTTTTCCATCCTCCTCTTATTGTCTCTTCTCTTATCCTATTCCCTTATTTTAGAAAGAAAGAACGAGACAGAGACACAATAATATTTTATCACTTCCTGGTTCTAATTCAATGGCAGTGCATTATCGACTCACCATAAGTGACTTCTTTTTAATGGAGGCATTCAGAGTCTTGATGGCATTAGACTGAAGGCAGCTTTGATGCTATATTGAATTAGTGTGAAATGTTATCTCCTGGATATGGTTTGTGGTGTGCATTCAGATGTAGAGACTGATACATGGGACTGATCATACAAAAAGCCTTTCATACAAAAAGCCTTTCATACAAAATGAGTTCTGAACATTAATCTCTCAGCTTTGACTGAAAATCTATTTTTACTTTTAGTCAACACTCTTATTACAATACAACTTTTTTCCAATTGACCGTGAACGTCCATGGTATTCTGAGCAGAAAGAGGGAGGTGGACTTTGAGAAGTCATCGAGGGGGAAACCAAAGAGTCAGAGATAAACGAGAAAAGAGAGAGAGAGGAAATAAGAAAGAGACCAGCAGAGACCAGCAGAGTGGGTGAAAAAGGAGAGAAAGAAAGATGTTTAATTGTTGACTAGTAAGTCAACATGATACATTAAGCTGGAAGTTAGAGCAAGAGAGCATCAGCTGAAAGTAGGTGCCACTGAACTACAGGAATTTCTTAACTGTGTGTTCAGAAGACGGCTCAACCTATTCCATGAAGAAGAAGTCGAGATACAGTCCTTGGATGTCTTGATACTGCTCTCAGTGTTGGATCTGAAATATCGATTTCTTTTTTTCTTCAACACAAAATAATAGTGAAGATGTCAGCCGCATTTGGGGACAGCAATCTGTTATTACTGTAGGTAACAGCTACTTCATTTGGAGTTTACATCCATAATCCACACATTTTTTTAGATTCATATCACAAGTCATATCACATACAGAAGTGTTTTTGTATTTCTTCACACATACAGAAGTGTTTTTGTATTTCTTCACACACATAGTGCTAGTATGTGGTCTTGTATAACAGACTTCTTCACCTACGAAACCACCATGTCGGTGGTAGTGAAGAGCTGGACCATCGGCATCATTAACCGTGTCGTCCAACTCCTCATCATCACTTATTTCATTGGGTGAGTATTTCCCTTCATTCTGGTGTGTTTTTAAGATTTTCCAGTATTTACTTTGGCCTGGTTGGATGAAACAGCTAAAACTAACAGAAATGTATATTCATATATATATATAATCAGGCATTTATATTTAATTTAATTCATTAGGTATTGATTATTCTGTCACACAGACGCTGCTTTATTAAAGCTAAAAATGCTGCCCTTTTATCATTTTTATAACCGTATAGTAGCATAGCTGTTATTCCACCATTGTAAAGTACCGTAAAACTTCAATTACTAGCAGAGTCCCAAATAGCCGCCTACCTCCTTTACTGGCCTGGTGAGGGAACACATTTTGACAAATAAACGCCTGCCTTAATTAAACGCCTGGTCTGGTTTTTATAGAAGTTCTTTGGATGTATAAAACCTCTTAAACCCCGCGGGGTCGCCCGCTTTAGCTGCTTCTAAGCTGATTAGATCGTTAATACAAATATTAATGTTTAAATGTATGATCAATATGCTGAACATCATTAGATAGGTTAGATTCTCCACAATACCACTGTCAAGTTCATTTAATGGAAACAACAAGACCCAAAGTCTAATTATTCTAGATTTACCGGTGTAACCTGCATGGCTACAAGAGAGGAAAAGGGGAAAAAAGTGCTGACTCGTTAACTTTGAAGCGCTCGTTAAGTCCGCTCTTAAGCCCGAATGTGTCCGTTCCTTGATTATTTAATATATTCCTTTAGTCTGTAAGGGTCCACTGATCAAAAGAATCAAGCCATGCATTTATACTTGTGTGTAGGTGTGTCCATCATTCTGCAATTACACCCCCAAACGCTAGTCGGCAGCGTCCACTGTGTTGACTTTTGCCGGCCGAGCAGGCTAACTTCTGGTTTAGTGCTCCGCTAATGTAAATGGGGAAAAAATTGTATATGTGCGGCTGGTGTAGCCCTTTCAAATGTTACTGAACGAATGGATCACATTCTGATAGCAAAATGAGTCATTTTGCTCGGGTTGCAACGGTCAAATATATTGATTCACTGTGTTACAGCCGCCGTTTTGGCTGCTAGTAAATGTTACTTTAAAGTGCAGGGTACTTCCGGTCAGCTCGGAGGCATTGCGAGGCTACCCAGCCGACCAATCACAGAGCTTAGGGTCTGTGTCGACTCGACATGTAGTTACATTTTTGAGGAGGTGCACGTCAGGCGACGGCATAGCCTCTGCGTAGCCCCGTAGCCTACGCCGTCACATACGGCGTCGATTTGGCGCAGAAGTATAAATTGAACTTTAGAAGTCCGGCCCAGATTGCCACAAAGATTTCTTTGTTCTTTTCAAGCCACACACGCGAAGCACTGCGACTTCGGTTTTTGTTTTATTTATTCTTTTCTTTTCTTTTGTTTGTTAAAAGTTATCAGACCGTTTCAGGCGCGCTACTTTGAATTCAAGAACGACCAAGTTCGTTTAAGCTATATTGTAGTCGAGTGAACTTATACTGCTCCCACCAAAGTTCGGACCTAGCCACGTGCGTCTGTCACACCAGCAGTAACCCAAAGGACATCAAAACCACAACTAAACCCAGCTCACAGCCTACCACTGCAAGTTTTCTTCAAACCAAGCCAACTGAGGGCGGACCTCCGGAGAAATTCCCTGGCAGAGAAAGTGACCGGCAGATGGTGTTAACCGTCTCGACCGAGAACGCACAAAGTTCAGCCAGCGTGAGGCCGGCCCGAACACCAACCGGCTGGAGAAACAACAAGCAGTAAGGAACCAGAGGCATTCTGTGGTTGAGTTGATGTCCAATACTCTTTTAATCCGTTAGTTTAATTCTAGCCAACTAACTAACTTGCGTTTATTGGTTCTCTTGCCTCCTTAGACTCAAATCTTTTCCACAATAGACCACTAAATCCACATTTAACTCCATCATTTTCATTGATAGCTCATGTTTGTTTAATCATTATTGTTGTATGTCTTTGATATATTTAAACTCACTTTATATCCACCTTTTGTTAGTTAATAAATTTCACCGTAATCACAGGAAGTGTGTGTGTGCATTGTTTGACTCCAGGTCACTGTAATGGAAGATTTACGCCTTCGATATGAGATTGACTGATTGATTTTATAGAAATGATTAAGCAGTTACTACTAACTGATCACTAGGAATAATTGTGTAATTATTAAACCCATAACGTTTCCTAGGGAGTCCGGAAACTGAATTTCCGGTGGTTTCCCCGAAAACGAGATATTTATGAATTATATTTAGAATATTAATATTCATAATTTGTATTAAAAGTAAAGTAGATATGCTATATAGTTTTTTATACAGTTAAAATTCAATTGTAGGCAGGGATTTTAGGTTTGATTGTTTTGCTATTTGTAGTTTATCATCAAAATTATAACTAGTGTGTATTACAGGATATATGATAATGATAATGTATTCAAATTAACATTCATTTAAGTAGAAGATCAAGTTGACATTTACACATGTAATTTTCTTCTGTTTTATAACTATGTAAGGATGCACAAAACCTTTACATTTTCCCACAAACTGTCATTTTAACAGTAATAGTATCTCAGACTTCAAGCCCTGCAACTGAAGATGTCCCAGCCAGGTGTCAGCTGCCACACAAACATTAACACCGGCACATTCACCAAAGCTCTCAAACTAACAAGTGAACTAGGTGTGGCTTATTTTCAGTGATTTCAGGTCACTGCTCATTCAGTCTATAGCAGTTGACAACAGCAAGGGGTGAGACAAAAATGAGCAACAGACAGCAGCATTAGCTTGTAGCCTAGCTAATTCAGTGATTGGCAGTGATACATGAACAGGACTCACTGCATCTTAAATTGAGATCTGAAAGAAGCAATACACAAGATTTTCTGTTTTTGGTTAAAGCAATGTCATAATGTTTCTGTCAGCTTGGCCCTACTGTACTGCACAGGTTTAACATTTCAGTTTAGGCTAAATGACACATTTTGTGTTATTTGTGTGTGTGTGCTTGAGGTGGGTGTTTGTCAATGAGAAGGCCTACCAGGTGAGAGACACAGCTATTGAATCCTCAGTGATGACCAAAGTCAAAGGTTTGGGAATCTACAACGACAAGGTCATGGATGTTGCAGACTACGTCACTCCTACACAGGTATGGATGACAGATGGATGGGTGGACAGATTAGATGACTGACAGTAAGATACAGTGATGGCGATTATACTATAATATTTATATTTGTTTTTTGCAGGGAGCTTCAGTCTTTTGCATCATCACCAAAATGATCACTACAGAGAACCAAGTCCAAGGATACTGCCCAGAGGTCAGCTACTGTCAGTACTATTACCCCAATACGCCCACCATTATTACGGCCTCAGAATCATCAATACTAGGGGTGGTGATGCCACAGTGGATAAAGCACATGTCACTGGTGTGGTAGTCCTTGGTTCAATTCCCCACTGTGACACACCAATGGTGTCCCTGGGCAAGATACTTAACCCCTAGGTGCTCCAGACCTCTGACGTATATAGCAATTGTAAGTCGCTTTGGATAAAAGCCATTACAACCATTGTACATTAAAACCTCTCAGTTCATTTTTGATTTCCAAGGGTTGTTATCAACGGACACAGACCAAAGTGCCTCTGGGCGCAATTGGATAAACGTACAACCAGTCAGAGCAATGAAACGTGTGATGAGTTGGGGCGGTGTTGGTGGCATGGTCACAAACTTATATACAGGTGCTGGTCATATAATTAGAATATCATCAAAAAGTTGATTTATTTTAGTAATTCCATTCAAAAAGTGAAACTTGTATAATGTATACATTCATTCCACACAGGACTGATATATTTCAAGTGTTCATTCCTTTTAATTTTGATGATTATAACTGACAACTAATGAAAACCCCCAAATCAGTATCTCAGAAAATTAGAATATTGTGAAAAGGTTCAATATTGAAGACACCTGGTGCCACACTCTAATCAGCTAATTAACTGAAAACACCTGCAAAGGCCTTTAAATGGTCTCTCAGTCTAGTTCTGTAGGCTACACAATCATGGGAAAGACTGCTGACTTGACAGCTGTCCAAAAGACGACAATTGACACCTTGCACAAGGAGGGCAAGACACAAAAGGTCATTGCTAAAGAGGCTGGCTGTTCACAGAGCTCTGTGTCCAAGCACATTAATAGAGAGGTGAAGGGAAGGAAAAGATGTGGTAGAAAAAAGTGTACAAGCAATAGGGATAACTGCACCCTGGAGAGGATTGTGAAACAAAACCCATTCAAAAATGTGGGGGAGATTCACAAAGAGTGGACTGCAGCTGGAGTCAGTGCTTCAAGAACCACCACGCACAGACGTATGCAAGACATGGGTTTCAGCTGTTGCATTCCTTGTGTCAAGCCACTCTTGAACAAGACACAGCGTCAGAAGCGTCTCGCCTGGGCTAAAGACAAAAAGGACTGGACTGCTGCTGAGTGGTCCAAAGTTATGTTCTCTGATGAAAGGAAATTTTGCATTTCCTTTGGAAATCAAGGTCCCAGAGTCTGGAGGAAGAGAGGAGAGGCACAGAATCCACGTTGCCTGAAGTCCAGTGTAAAGTTTCCACAGTCAGTGATGGTTTGGGGTGCCATGTCATCTGCTGGTGTTGGTCCACTGTGTTTTCTGAGGTCCAAGGTCAACGCAGCCGTCTACCAGGAAGTTTTAGAGCACTTCATGCTTCCTGCTGCTGACCCTGCTGCTGGGCTCTCATAACACCTGAGCAGTGCCACAGACTGATCGACTCCATGCCACGCCGCATTGCTGCAGTAATTCAGGCAAAAGGAGCCCCAACTAAGTATTGAGTGCTGTACACGCTCATACTTTTCATGTTCACACTTTTCAGTTGGCCAACGTTTCTAAAAATCCTTTTGTTGTATTGGTCTTAAGTAATATTCTAATTTTCGGAGATACTGAATTTGGGATTTTCATTAGTTGTCAGTTTTAATCATCACAATTAAATGAAATAAACATTTGAAATATATCAGTCTGTGTGTAATGAATGAATATAATATCCAAGTTTCACTTTTTGAATGGAATTACTGAAATAAACCAACTTTTTGATATTCTAATTATATGTGTATATACTTCTATATATACTGTCCATATCAATGATATGGACAATATGAGATATATACTGTATATATATAGTTCAGCTGTAATATGATTCAGACTTCATTCAATATATTCTGACTTCATTGTGCGTGTGTGTGTGTGTGTGTATATATATCTCATATTACAGTTAAACAGTACAGTAAAATGTACAGTACCTTCACTCATATTTATTCAGCACTGCCTAGTTTGATCCGAATTTCGTGAGTCTGCTGCATTGCACTGAATGCAGGTCCAGACCTACAACCAATCAGAGAAGTCAAACTTTTAAAATCTAGACCAATGGCTCTCCACTAGTGATGTGCGGATCGATACTAAAGTATCGATATTTCTGATACCAACGTTTCCTGCTCTAGGATCGATACTCATATAAAAGGATCGATAACTAAACTCAGTAATTTGGAGTGAGTGTGTGTTTTATCATAAATATCTTACTGTCAATAGGATGCACTAACTATACTCGGTAGATAGGAACTACTTTTCCTTCCGCCTGTCAAAGTCATGCTTGTGCTACAGCTCTGTGATGGAGCTTCTTTGAAGTGAGCCGCTGCAGCCCTTTACATTTCCCGCGATTGAATACTGACTCTGGCTGACTGTAGAAACAGTCACGTCTGGCTGTGTTTTAGCTGTGAAGGTAATAATGACATTGATAATGTCATTTTCTGATCTCCACCAACTCCTGAAAAAAACATATTTTAATCTCTTTAGCAGCTGCTAAATGCTCCACTATGTTCACCAGCTTCTCACTAACTTTGTCTGTCTGCCTGCCGAGAAACCATGAACTTAAAGACAGTAAAAAAGGTTAGGGTTGATGCAGCTTTAATCTGTGTGTGTGTGTGTGTGTGTGTGTGTGTGTGTGTATGATTTTGTGTTACCCAGAGTGAGAAAAGGTATAATTGTGCCAAAGACATTGACTGCACAAAGCACCTCAACAAGCCAGGAAATTGTGGTGAGATCTTCTCTCTGTCTTTTTCTTTTCCTTTCTACTTTAAAGTATTTGATGACAGTTTTATAATTAGAGGTCCAAGCAGTGAAGCTGCTGGAGTGTACTGGATCTGTTAAGCTTATTAGGGGTCCAAGCAACGAAGCGTTTTGGCCTATAACTTTTAAACCATAAGTCTCAGAAACAAAATTTTTTTTCCTGGAATCTGTGGGTCCATATGAACCTAAGCCACACCCAGTTGCACCTGGACATATTTTGACAATTATGACAATTTTGACAATTTTTTTTATTTGAGCAATCGCCATCACACGTTTAGAAACAAAAAAGTACTTTTCCCCCCTGGACCAATAAAAAGTACTTAACATTTTTAAATATTTAAGGTCAAAATTACATAAATGCCCATAAATCAAAATTGGCTTCAGTTATTGTAACCAAACTTGTTACAAGTGTTCTGATGCTAGTTCTGAGCGTTTATTAGTCCTTAGATAGTCTGACATTAGGAGGCTCGTAATCGGCTGCGTGGATTCGTACAAAAGTTACAAATACCTAAGTCTGGCAAGTGATGTCATTGCCTCATGTTGTGTGAAGTTGTGTAAAAGGTTACACTGTATGTATAGTGTCCAGTGGTTGTGCAAATTCTGTGTTTCTTTTAGATCCAAAGGTTGTGAGTTTGAACCCTGCTAAGGCAGTACTCAATAAAGTTGTATGTTAAAAAAAATGCAGATGCACACTCTCTCTTCCTCTGTTTTTAGTCAACTCAAATCTTTAGCTTTCATTCACAGTTCAAAACTGCCTTTATCTCACAAACACAAATACTTACAAAAACAACATTGATTTGAGTGAAACCGTTTCAACATTTTCTTCAGCATGTTCAATTAATTGTATAAAATTTGGTTAGGATTGGCGAAAAAGGAGTTGTTTATAAGCACAAACTCTCATCTCCATCTATATTGCAGTAAAAATTTTACCATAGTTCCTAGAGAGCTTTTTCAACACATCTGTTTGCCTCTATGCCTATGGTCAAGAAGTGAGTCAAAAGTGACATTTAGTGGCCCACTATTATTATAATTTAATCATTTGTAAAAAACCAAAACAATACACCTGAAACCAACATTTGATTTAACTAATGCATGTTGTGTGTTTTCATTCTTCTTCTTCTTCTTTCTCATTGGGGTCATATTAATTTGAAGGTTGCCTATTGTGACCCTGTGGACATTTTTTATTTTTCTCTGCCAAAAAAAATAAGACCTAGAAACACAAATATTGGCAGGTGGGTTCCAAATTCCACCTACAACTCAAGCACACACAATGACACTCACTGACCTCAAGGTTATGCTAATAATAATAATAATAATAATAATCATCATCAAGTTTACATATTCACAGTTATCTCAAAGTGCATCTGGGCCCGTATTTATCAAGCTTCTCAGAATTACTCATAAGAACACTGCTCTCCTTCTTCTTGGCTCAAAGCTGTGCTTAAAAGTTAGTTATCATGCATCATAGTCCTAATTTGAGTGAAGTGTAGTACTAAATCTTAAGTGTCAGTCTTAGTGCTGATTTACGACACTTTGCTGTGCTGCAAAAAGGATTTTGGATGATGACCAAAGGACCAATCACTGAAGAGATTTCCTTATTTAAGAATATTCTAGATTCTTAATTTTCAAGATAATAAATTATGATATAGGCCTACACATTAATAAATGAAATATAAAAAAGTGTATCCTTATATGAGCTCCATCAAATGCGCCTAGTACTCCTGTATTGCCGGCAATATGAACTGAGTTTGCTTCTGTCGGATTATGGGGGGTGTTGTTGGGAAGTCGATGAAACGCCTAAGTGCCATAATTCTTTCCATGACTATTCAGCTTATTGATGGTTGTGTCGGCCAAAATCATCAGCATTGCTGCGTTTGTCCTGTGGCAAATAAATGAAGCGTCATCACCACCTTCGCTTTAACTGAAAAAGCATTACTGCAACCTAGTCCAACCTAGTCTAATTAAGTGTCTTTCGTCAAATAATTCAGAAACAATATTCCTCTCCTGAAAGATGCATGTCTCTATCTCCACAGGGCCATCACAAGCCCTACTGGCAGCTCCTAACCACTTGAGAGACCTCTCGAGCTGTCTTAAATAACTGGGAGTAAGAGTGATTCTTAGCTTTAAGAAATTTGATAACTTGCTTTTATTCTTAAGTTTAAATGTACGAGTAAATTTCATGAATTCTAAGCACTTAAAATCCTGTTTTTGATATTTCACCAGAAACTGCTAGACCAATCATCCCAAAATTTTAAGGTCATAAACTCTATAAGCTACATCAAATACCTCAACATAGCATCAGCGAACAACAATGACCACAATAACTTATTGGAAAGAACACAGAGTTTGTCTATTAATAGTTTATTTGTGTTTACCATTTTTACTATTGCTTTTATATTAATGTATATTGTCTGCTATGTATCAGAAGGAAGTTACAAAATCAATTTCTACCTATCTATCTTGTACCTTGTACTTGTACCTTGTTATTACGCTAATGCATACAGTGTATGTGTTGAATTAATACTTCAGAACTGGTATTCACTTATTTTTGCTTTTCCAGTTTGCATATAAGCTTTTCTTTTCCTGCTCAGGAATTCTTACAGGGAAATGTGTTCCTTTCAACACCACAGTCAACAGATGTGAGATAAAAGGATGGTGTCCTGCCGAAATCGACACCATCAAGACGTAAGACAATCCTGGAAAGTGATGGAGAGCTTTTTACAAGGCTTTACAATCACTGTTCTGTACTGTTATACTAATGTCAGACACATCTCTGTTGGGGCAGCTCACTTAGTCACTAACCTAGTAACATTTATCATGCAGATAGTTTAAGTTTTCATTGTCCCGCTTTTGAGATAATCGAGAAGGCAGGCCTTCGCCACACTACAGTGGATTTAAACTGAATTGTATCCATTGGTAGAAATCTGAGCCTTGACACATTGTAAAAAGCAAAGACAACTTTGTGTGCTGACTTTGTGCGGCTGAAGAAAAATAACACATTTAAACACAATACTGTTTGTGTGTTGGTCTTTTCTGTTGTTCTGTGCCCCCCCTTCCCCTCTCTGTCAGTACGCCAATGATGGAAGTTGAGAATTTTACCATTTTCATTAAGAATAGCATCCGCTTCCCAACCTTCAACTACACCAAGTATGACAACTATAATTCTAAATATGATGATGATGATGATAATGAAATCTGACATGTTGAAATGATGATATGTGTCTATGTGTGCAGAGGAAACTTCCTTCCTACCATCACTGATGATTACATCAAAAAATGTAACTTTGACATGGTCAACAACACCTACTGCCCCATCTTCAGAGTGGGAGATGTCGTCCGCTACGCACAGCAGAACTTCACTAAACTGGTAGACAAGGTAGAGTCAAGAGATACTTTTAAGGTTTTGGGGGCAAGTTCAAGTCATGTCTTTGTAAGAAAATTCAAAAGTCAAGGCAGATGATTTCCTGGGCCCGTATCAAGCTTCTCAGACTTATTCATAAGCACACTGCTAAGAACTGACTTAAAAGTAAAAGAATTCTTGGCTCAAAGCTGCACTTAAAAGTTAATTATCAAGCATCTCAGACCTAATTTCAGTGAAGTGTAGGATTAAATCTTAATTGTCTGATTCACGACACTTGCTGTGCTGCAAACAGGATTTTGGATGACGTATGATGTAGGCAAGGACCAATCACTGAATAGATTTCCTTATTTAAGAAAATTCTCAAATAAATTCACATTGAATGGTGAAATTCAACACATTTACATTCAACACAAATTTGACAATAAATCATTTTCAAGAGAATACATTATAACATTGGAAATGAAAGATAAAAAAGTCGATCTTTAAATGAGCGCCATCAATTGCGCCTACAACTCCTGTGAAGCTGGCTCAGTGGTCAGAAGACAATAAAGGCACTATACAAGTACAGTTCATTTACCATTAGAAACCATTACAAATGTTTGTTAAATGTTTGTTAAATAATTGACATCATTCCTGTGCATAGGTCTAACAACTAAACACTTAAAGATCTGTTTCCTGAACCGAACCAATGCGACAATAATACATTGTTTAAAATTTCCAACTGGTCCTGTTTGCGTTCACAAACCTCAAATAGTCCTGAAACTGTAAACAAAAGCCATGTGGTGGAAATGTCAGTAAATTAATGGTCAGCACCATCAGGTTCATGTTGGTCTGGAGCCCATATCAGTAGACTTTAGTGGGCCATCGATATGAACATCATTATTAAATTATTTAACAATTCAAGCAATTGGAGGAAGAAACTCTGCATCAAACGGTCTTATCACAGAAGTAGACTTTGTTTACAGAATCCAAATGTATGTCCTTGAATGAATTAATTAATAAAAATAAAAATAATAATCTTTATTTATAGAGCAAAGACAATGAAAACAAACAAATAAGATCCACGGTAAAAGCAGGAAGAAACTTAAGAAATTGGCTCAGGAGAAGAACGGGTTGCCCACTAATCGGAAAAACCACTGGTCAGGGATTAGTGGGCAACCACTAATTGGAATCCCTCAGTGGCTCAGTGTATGAATGTGTGTGAATGATTGAATGCGAGCGTAAAGCGCTTGTGTTGTCAGAACACTAGAAAGGCACTATACAAATACAGAGCATTTACAAAGACCACATTTACATAGCCAAATGGTCCTATTGTTTAGCCTCACAATGCCATTGGATACTAAATGTGTTTGTAGGCCAAAAGGCCATGAACCCCCCCAGCTGTTTATTGCTGCTGTTCGGCTGGTTGTCTTTTACTATTATTATTATTTTTATTGTTTTTTTGTTTGTGTTTGTTTGTTGTTGTTTTTCTCCTCCCCAAGCCCCCCTCTCTGTTCCACAGCTTTTCCCTGTTGTCCCCACCCTCCATCCCCCTTTCCCCCTTCTCTTACAGGTGTTGTCCTTTCTCTGTGCTGTCTGTTTGTGCCCCCCCCCATCCCCTGTCTGCCCCCCTGTCCGGCCCGGTGACAAATCAATACATAATTAAATAAATAATAAAACAGACATTTTAATACTCTCTTGTTAAAGTAAAATCTGTCTGGCACAATATGGTATCCAGGTCATTATACTATATACCAGGCTGCTGGGCAGGACAGGTTTAAAAAATAAATAAATAAATAAATAAATAAGAACGGATGGTCCTTTCGCTCCCTGAGCAGGGTACCAGTTACTCACCAATGGTGAACAGTTCAAACGTCCCCTCACTGTTTCAGGCAGGCGACCGTCTACTCTCAGTCCCACTGATATTGATGTAGAAGAAGAAGAAGAGACCACTCCTTAGGTAGTCCCAGCGGTGATGATGAAGAAAAGGAGAAAACTCCCACCTCAGTGCCAGTGATAGCCAGAGGTGCACCCGTGTTTTTCTGGTCACACGGGGCGCTATCTGGTGTTCTGTCCGGGCCTCAAAGTCCACACACACACACACGGCAAGCAAGCCGTGAGATACTATGCTAATTAGCCTACCGGCCGAAGTTAGCTCAGAGATACACGGTAATGTCCACAGCAGACTCTCAAACACACTTCTCTTAAATGAGTCAGGCTCTACACTCTAATATTTGTCTTGGTTCGCAGCTATTCACCACTCAAAATACAGTCGCACACTCACACTGCGGTGTCTACTTCTCTCACGTCTCCCTTGTTTTTTTCTCCTCCAGTTCCTCTGACTACTAGTCCCGCCCCTAACAAATCATACCTTTTAGAAGCTGGATGTCTCTGTCAATGGACTAATCAAAGGCACATAAATAAAAGCAGCAGGTTAATATGTCTCACCTCGTGTTGAGTGATGTACGTTCTAAACAAACTGTGAAAACACTGTCCCCTTAAAGGAACAGCGCCTCCTATAGTAACAATGTAGGGTTTACACTGCTGTGTTTAAATTAGCTCTGGGGTTTAACCCAGGGGCTACATTAAATTGCTGTCAAACCAGACACCAAGATTTTTAGCAACAGGCCTGACATGATCCACTAGGGACCAGCAGATGGCAGCATTTGCTTTGCTTTGCTTTGCTGGGAGTTCATGACCAGGATCTCTGTTTTGTCTGAGTTCAGTAAGAGGAAATTATGTGAAATCCAATTTGTGACATCACAGAGGCAGTCAGTAAGTGAACTCAGCATTCCAGGGTCTGTGGATCTGACAGCAGGTACATCTGTGTGTCATCAGCATAAACATGAAAAGAAACACCATGTGGATACACCATTCTGGATAATATGTCCAAGGGGAAGCATATACAAGTAAAATAAAATGGACCCCTGAGGAACTCCATATTCAACCAAACAGAATGTAAAGACATAGTTATTCACAGGCACAGAACCTCCTATTGGACAGGTATGATGAAAACCATTCTAAAGCTGTACCAGAGATCCCCACCCTGTGCCTCAGTCTGTCTAACATGATGCTGCCCAAAGTCTCCAGTCCTGTCTTTTGTGACTTAATTCTGACTTAAGTCTAAAGTCAAGTTGCAAGACCTTGTGACTACTATCATGAGCAGGATTTTTTTTTATAGACTCTAATAAAAAACAAAAACATCCCTCTAAATCATCACCTATGACCCACTAGAATTGTGTGGCGGTATCTGTATCTGCAGAGACCCTGCCATCTGAATGTACAGAGATCACACCTGTCGGGGTCAAATTGACCACTATAAGCAGATGATTATTAGGTTTTATTTCTAACATCTGTATATTTATTCAATGAAAATTAAGTAATGAAATAGACAGTCGCTCTATTTACTTAATTTTATTGACTGTTTCAAAACAGTACACCTTTTCAAATGTACAAATAAAATCACTGTACTGTGTGTAATTCAAATACACTATACAGTAATATTCAATTCAGTTTTATTTATATAGTGCTATTCAATATCCACACAAAAATACAAAAACAGTAAAAGTGGTACAGGCAGAAAAGTAATAATTGTACTGGTAATTAATGATGATAATAATAATAATAATAATAGTAATTATAGGAGTGGGTGTCAAGCAGGAAGAGCAAGAGACCACTGAACTCGTATAATTACCTCTATTTTTCAGCTGGGCTAAAATCGCTGATCTGTTTTCAACTATTTCTCTTATTTTCTTACTGGGTGCACCCTATTATCAATAACTCAAAATCTCAATCCTCAATATTCACATCCGGTGAATGACCATATTAAACAATACCTGTTTCAATATTATCACTTCACATGTCACATCAACTTTATAATCATTTGCTTTTCACCATATGAGCAATTGCCAAAATCACAATAACCAGGACATCATAGTACACCAAATAAACCGTATGAATTCTGCAGACACCAGGGATGCGTTTCTAAAAACGGATGAGGGAGGTAATTGTCCATTCAAAGTCCAAAAAAAAAAGTAGAGTTAGAAAGTGTGGGGTTGTGCAAGTGGTGCTAGACAGTGAGTGTAAAAGTGTTGCTGGTTATCCTACTAATGTGGCAGGAGAGGGGTAAGATCAGTAGTCCTTAGCTCAGAGTTCCTCACTTCAGCGATCTTCAATCCAGGGATCTTGAGTTCTCATCTGGGTTGGCTCGCCATCAACTTTAACTCAGCTCTCCGAAAAAAACCTGGCCAGCAGTCACTGACACGGCCAGAATAGTTCATTAGTCAATAGCCTTTTCAAACGGGTTTCTCAAGTGTTCCTTTAACCAATATATATATATATAAATGCAAATGGCACAATCACTATTTTTTAAATACGTTTTACATCAAATGAATTACTGAGCAACTTAACAACTTAACAAAGCTTATACATTTTTAAATATAAAGAACAATGTTGCAGAAATTAAAACTATGCAGTGCAAATGCAACAGATTCACCATGAACAATGAAAGAAAATGTCAAACAGATAGTTTAGTTGAAGTCTACAACAGGCTAATTGCACTGTTCATCACTCACTGCTAATTTTGTTAGCTCTAGGCCCATGCACTTGAACTGGCTAGCTTAGCCTAGCATCTTGTGACGCAGCAGTAAATTATTTATTTTTTACATGACTCACGAATTTGGGATTTCTTTGTCATTCGGCAGGTTTCAATGAACAGGGCCTCACACACACACACACACACGCACACACACACACACACACACACACACACACACATCTATAGTCTTAAAACAAAGTCCAGACTGTTATCACTCTCATCTGACAACTTATACGGTTTTATCTGAACTACATTTTTACCGCTCAGAAACATGTCCTCTCCCCACAGTGTCACCCAGTGTCAGCAACGTTTGCTGTAAACCTGCGCTCTGATTTGCTAAGGCACTTCTGTGTTGTTAACCCTTTGTGACATGGGTAAAATAAGGTACTATCAGGGGGGTAAGCCAGAGATCGGAGGCCCAATCCCAACATCCACCCTCACAGACTCACAGACTTTGAGGTGTTCCCAGGAAGTCCGTGAGGCCTTAGGGCTGTCCCACTGTCAAATCGTCAAGTGCGCGAGGGCTCTCTCGCGGACATTTTGAGGCCTTTATAGACCCTTTCTGTAAGTCTGCATTTCTGCAGACAATGGCTGTGTCCGAAATCCCCACTCATTCACTACTCCCTACCCCCTATGTAGGGAGTTGTATGTAGAGCACTATATAGTCAGCTCACGCCATTAATTACGTCATTGCCATTAGACAATCAGTTGTTTCCATCAGCGCAATGCATGATGGTATATAGGGCTTGGTTAGTGACCATCGATTGTTCACTACTATTCAAAATGCATTCTGGGATACATTGATTGGACTATATAGGGTCTAGTAATTCTCAAGCCCAACAGTTCCCACCAAGAGCAAGCACTTGGCGAAACCTCGAGCAGAACCATGGCTCAGGGTGGGCGGCCATCTGCCTCGACCGGTTGGGGATGAATTATAAGAGAAGAACAAAAAATAAACAAACAAGCATCGACACCACGCTGATGTTAAAAGTTTTGAAAGTTTTCTTAACTTAAGATACTGCACAGAACACATGAAGTCAGAGGAATGCAATCACCTTCTTACATATTTAGTTTATTCAACTATTTATTTTAGTTTTTGCTTGATGATGCTGTTTGACCAACAATAGTTTTATTGATTAATTACAAATATATATTAACATTTAGGCTACCTCTCCTCCACTCTGCAGGGCGAGAGCCTGCAGGACTTAAAAATCAGGCAACATCAAATAAAAAGTGCCTCAGCATCGTCAAGGTAACGTGATAAAGTGGCAAAGTGCTGTCCTGTTCCTGTTTACAGCATTTTGAGCCCTTGCAGCCTCTCGCACTCAAATCACTTTCCAAGTGACGTCAGTAAAGTCTGTGAGGGTTCAGGGCTTAGGGGGGGACATTGGGATTGGACCGGACAGTGAAGCCGACCAAAGCCTGCATAGAGGGATCCATGTAGGCCCAAAAATGACGTCAAAACCCTATCCCCTGATCTCCATTCAAATCAGGGGGTGACTTCGTCCAGTAATATACTGTCTATGGGTACTATGACGTCTTTAGGATGGTGCCTGACCATTAAGAGCTTTTTGGTGAGCAAAAGGATTTTAAATTCTTTTGTGGATTTTACAGGGAGCCAGTGCAAAGAAGCTAAGACAGGAGAAATATGATCTGCTGCAGCATTCAGGATCAGCTGAAGAGTTTTAAGGGACTTAAAACAGCTTGATAAAGAATTACAGTAATCCAGCCTAGAAGTGACAAATGCATGGACTAGTTTTTCTGCATCATTTTTAGACAGGATATTTCTGATTTTTGCAATATTACGTAGGTGAAAAAGGTGGTCGGTAGGAGTTAAAGGACATGTCCTGATCAAAGATAACTCTGAGATCAAGGTTTTTACATCCTACAAGGCACACTTGACGTTTAGCTAACTGATTGGTTTCATCTGGCTTGACTGATTATATTAACAGTAACAATAATAATAACAAACCACAAGCTAAAAAATTTAATATTTATTTACAGTCATTATTTGTATTTATTTTCTTTAAATATCCTTTATATTGGGTTTCTGATCAGACAGTTAAGGGGGAAATTATTTGAACTGAAGCAGTACAGTAGAAATAGCTCAATGAGAAGGAGCTGATTAAGATGTTTTCAAACAGTAAGAGTGTCTGAACTTACAAGGCATTGACAATGTGTGCACAGATTAGTTGTCCCCCATTGTCTTAATGCACTGCAGGGACCACCGGCTTCACATCCTCTTGGTGAAACAAATGTTATGAATCACAATGCGCACTGCTATTAAGGCACAGACTCATCCGCAGCTCCCAGTGAACCCTATAAAATGCAGCAATCAGGGTATGGTCAGGCACACGTTTCTTTGTATGTTTATTTTTTTAAGAACGGATGTCACACTACCTCCGGCATAGGAACAAAATGTTTTGTTTTTTGTAACATTTCTTCCAAACATACTAGCCAGTACAAATTGGTTGCTTTTAAATGTAATTCCTAGAAGCCAGTTCATGTGTCTCATTTTGAAAATTCTGTCAGGGAGGAGTGATTGGAATAAAGATCGGCTGGATATGTGATCTGGACAAGTCAGATGACCAGTGTAACCCTTCATACTCATTCACCCGACTGGATGCCATGTCACAGAAGAATGATGTCTCACCTGGCTACAATTTCAGGTATTTACATGGTTGGACTGATATGTTCCATCCACAAACTAGAAACTTAACCATTGGCCAGATTGCATTGAAATCATTGGATATTCATGGTCCCCAGGGAATGATTTCTAATTACCTTTTCTAATTACACCATTACCTTTCTCTAGTAACAGCTGACCAACACCTTTACTAGAAATATAGGAATTTCTAAAGACAAATTGACATGGACAGCTTTCATAAGTCTAGTATCTGAGCCACCTATATGTAAATGAAAAGAGTTACAGGTTGTTAAACTGGATTGTCTTTAAGGACTCTACATAAAAATAAGTATTTTAGCATATGACATATTAATCAAGTAATCAATCAGACTGCATTATATTGTTGTAATTAGTTATTTTGACCACTTGCAAAATGTATGGTTAGATTGATTGATGATGTTTTCCTTGTGATTTGTCTGTTTGTGCAGGTTTGCCAAATATTATAAGATGGATAATGGGACGGACTACCGCACTCTGGTCAAAGCCTATGCTATTAGGTTTGATGTTCTGGTCAATGGAAATGTGAGTATATAGCTTAGTGTGTGTCAGATTTGTGTATCAGGTGCTCATTCTTAATCAATATAACAAGGTTTAAATTGGGGCTGGGCACGTTAATTATTTTATCACATGATAACACCGTATTTTTAATTATTATTTTGAAAGCCCGTTTTCACTGGCTCTGAATACACATACGATCAAACCATGGGTCACAGGAGGGGGTGGATGTTGATCAGCCTGCGAATCACGATTAAAATTTTTTTTTTTTTTTTTTTTTTTTTTTTTTAAACCTGTCCTGCCCAGCAGCCTGGTATAGAGTATAATGACCTGGATACCATATTGTGCCAGACAGATTTTACTTTAACAAGAGAGTATTAAAATACTCCTTTGTCTGTTTTATTATTTATTTAATTATGTATTGATTTGTCACCGGGCCGGACAGGGGGGCAGACACGGGGATGGGGGGGCACAAACAGACAGCACAGAGAAAGGACAACACCTGCAAGAGAAGGGGGAAAGGGGGATGGAGGGTGGGGACAACAGGGAAAAGCTGTGGGAAACACCAATTGCAGAAAGCAACGAAACCTGCAAGAGAACAGAGAGGGGGGCTTGGGGAGGAGAAAAACAACAACAAACAAACACAAACAAAAAAAAACAATAAAAATAATAATAATAGTAAAAGAAAACCAGCCGAACAGCAGCAATAAACAGCTGACATATTAATGACATATTAAGACAACTAAGAGAACAATGAAAACAAGAAACAGTCACACACACTAAATAAGCAACACAACACAGCCACGAGAGCTGGAATAATAATTAATTTAAATAAGTAACTGAAAGAAAGGCATCAGGAATAATTCTACCAGGGACAACCTAAGTTTGTTTGTGTCTGTGTGGGTGAATGTGTCTGTATGTGTGTGTATGTACATGTGTGTGCGCATAAGCCTGTTAAAGAATGTAGTTGTTAGAGAGAGTGGGACGCCACGACTGTAACAGGCAGGCAAGAACCCCAGTAGCCAATAGGGGTGGAAGAAAGAAAAAGAATAAATCAAATCAAAAACCCAAATGCCAGTTGACAACGTAATGCCGACGGAACGCAAAAGAGGAAGAGCAGCGCCCGGACCGACCGCGGCGCAGACACAACATAGACCAGTGGCCTCCCCCATCCAGCACCCCACCGCCGCGCAGCAAACAACCACAATGCCCAAATGCCACGCAATCATCAACACCAATGCACAAGTGACGAGCCCAACGCGCACACTGCGCGAGCACGGCGACACCCATGCCCAGCAGCCCCCCGCGAATCCCGCGTGCGAGGTCGGGCAAATGAGAGAGAGCAAACGGAACAACACGACAGCGAAAGCCAGCGGAGAGAGACACCAGCAGCAAGTCCCAGCCCGGCAGCAAACGCGCCGCACAGGTCACCGTGCACCCGCCAATAAAAGTCCACCGTCCCCCCAACCGCCGGAAAAAACTAAGGCCGCCGGCGCCAGCCGACATCCCCCATGCCCAGCGCGCCCCCCGGCCGCCATGCAACACCAGCCAAACCAGCAACGAGGCAAAATCAACTAGCTCAGCTGCATGCCACCAACAACCCACCCATCCATCAAGGGCCGAGAACTCCAGGCACAAACCCAGAACAAACCGGAGCACAGCCCTGCCCCGCACCCACACTGCACATCCCGAAAACTAACAACTGGCCGACAGAGAAATGGGCAAGCACGGATCCGAGGCCAACGAAGCAAAACAGGAACGCAAACAGGTCCCTCCAAGCCAACGAGGAGATGCCTCCCCCGGACTCCAACGCACAAACTAAACGCCCAGCAGCCATCCAGAGACCCTGCCCAGGGAAAAAGTATAATACATCAAGATGCATCGATAATCGCCCCACAATCCCACCGCAGACCCCCACCCCCAGAAGCCAGGACACCCTGCGACCCCCCAAAGCGCAAAGGACCCCAGACCGCATGTCCAGGGGGAAGCTGTACCCCGCCCCAAGGAAGAACAGCAGAAAGCCGTGCCGGGAAGCTCGCTACCGCCAGGGAGCGATAACGCGGGAGAACCAGGCCAACGGTCCCCCAGCCCAGCCAGAGGCATCCCTCCCTACAGTGCAGCCAGTGACAGCAGCCCCCGAGGCCGATCTCATCCCCGGACAGGGGCCCAGCCCCCCCAGTCAAGCACCCCCAAGGAGGAGCACCAAAACCTACCCCGACAGCACCGGTCATGCGCCCCAGAGACTCCCGAATGCCCCCACCGTGAGAGAGCTGGCAGGGGGAAGCAGCGGGAGCCTCACCTCTGCCGAAGAGGGCCCAGGCGAGGAGAGGAGACAACGGGCCCCCAGGCCCAGGGACACACCACCCGCCCAGAAATGAGCAAAGGCCACAAGCCCGAGTCCGCAGAACCCTAGGCCAAGGGCGGGCCCCCACACCAGGGGAGCCCCGACCCCCCCCAGCCCACCCCAGATCAGGCAAGGCCGCCACCAACCCCACAGCACCCCCAACGCCCGGGGCTCCAGGGGTAGGACACGAGGCCAATGAGAATCTCTCCCACTCCTTCAACCCCTCTGCCTGCCTCTGTAAATGTATTGTTTTGTGTTGGATGCATGTCATGGATTGTGAAGTGTTGTATGGTGGAGTGAAGATAAGGTGTGTGGTAACTAAGGTGCAACTAAAATTGGAGGGTAGTTGTGACACAGGCACCCCACAACTGTCAGGTAGTGGAGCCTCCCATCGTGCCCCTCCCACCCCCCAAGCCCTCTGTGTCTAATGTGTAATTAAAATTGAGGGGCAGGCAGTGAGGGAGGAAGAAGTGCGAGGCCGCAATAAAGCAGCCCCACCCCCCAAACGCCCTGCAGGCTGCCCGTCCCCCAGGATCCTAAGGGTGTATGTTGTGAGACATGACCAAAGGGGGAAAGGTGAAGGAGGTCATAGGGAGGCTAGAAGACCAGATTCCTGACTGGCCCCATCATTTATTCAGTCCCGTCCCCCACCCCCCTAAGCAGGAGGACGCCAGGTCCCTCCAGCCCAGGGCTTATAGCAAGAGCCCCTCTAGCACCGGTAGCACCCCAGAGTCAGTGACAACCCCGCCCATCCCCAGGACGGGCCCAGGGGGGCCCAGCCCCCCCAGCGCGCAGACCCGCCCCAGACCCAGAGGCTCCAAAGCCCCGTGCCCCAGACCCCCACACACTCCAGAGGCAGGTCAGTGCAGCCCCAACCCAAAGTCCAACAATCCCCCGTCCTCGCCGGGGCCCCTCCGGCAGCCCCACTGCTAACCCCTCACCTCACCGCTCCCCCACAATCAGCAGTACTCCGAGCACCACCAGCCCCCAAGGGAGCAGGTCCGGGGCAGCAAGGACCCCACCCAAGGACAGAACGGCCCAACAGCCCAGATCCGAAGGTCGGCCCACACCCAGGAGGCAATGCCACTCAGGCCAGGTCAGGCCAGAAGACCCCCACCCCCGCTCCCTTCCCTCCCTAGCAGCGAAGCATCCCACACACAAACCCCCACCGTCCCCAAAGAAAAGAGACAGCAATCACCCCGCGACAGCAGCAACAGCCCCTCAGCCCTAGGGAGTCAGCAGATGCAAATAGCCCCTAGGACTCAACACGACCACACTCCAGAGGGCCGCGACGCGACTGCAAGCAACCATCGACACACCCCAAAGCACAATCCCTCCATACACAGGATCCCGGCACAACCACCAAGCATCCAGTCCGGGCACTAAAATCCAGAGGAGACACCCCCCAACCAGCTCAAAAAGGACCAGCCCGCACCCCCAACCCACCCCGTCAACCCCTTCTTCCCGGTCCCCCACCCCTCCAACAACCAGTCGCCAGACCCCTCAGAGAACCGAAATGCAATTATCAGGATGCACAGCATGCACACAGGACAGAGCCGCACACCAGTCCCGGCCCGCACCCGATGCCCCCAACCCCCGACAAGCACGCAAGCCAATAATGACCTACAGATGAGCCAATCAACACTACCCCGCTACCAATCTAACTAGCGGCACACAACAGCCAAGTAATGCGCTGCGCAGGAGAGATGCCAGCCGGCGCAAACCGCCCCCATCCCCCCCGCAGCCAGAGAGACCACAGACCCCACCCACGGCTACACCGTGACCCACGCCGCACGTTCACCACCAGACCGAAACCCACCACAAGCATCCCCCCCCACCAACCTCCACCGCCATGCCCGCCGCCCGCCCCCTCCCCCCAACCCGGACCCACACACAGGACACACAGGGAGGCAGCCAAGCACCGAGCGCCACCACATCCGCACAGCGCGCGAGTCAAAATCACCACCCGCGCACCGATACCAACAACCCCGCGACACCTAAGCAGAGTGGCTACCCACCCCGCAGCAGCGGCACGCCGAATACAGGGCAAACACCGGTCCCCCCGTCAAGCCCGCGCCCTAGGCAACCCGAGCGCCGCACCACCGCCCCCCCCCCCCCGCCAACACCATGCCATCAACCAACATTTAAAATTAGAAAAAGTCCCCCACGCCCGCACCGCAATGCATCTAAGAATCAACCCACCCCCAGACACACCTACCAGCCGTACGGGACCCTGACCAGCAAGGCAGTACACACCCACCCCCATTAAGTGATAAAGTTGATCAAGGGGGACCAGAGAGATTGGAATTGTGTCAATTTGTTTTTTTTTACAGCAGACATTTTCTCCATGCTAATGTGATCTATAAGGTGATTCCGATATTGGGTGATACTTATATTCTTTTTGGCCTTCCAGTTCATGAGGATAGTTTTCTTGGCGATGCATAAGGCAGTGAGAAGCATGTATGATGTGTCAACCTCTATACTAATGTCACTTAGGTCCCCCAGCACGCAGAGTGATGGGGAAACTGGGACGGGGTAACTTAGCCATATCGATAGGTCTTCACATATCTTCTGCCAGAACTTTTGAACAGGTGTACATTGCCACATAGCATGCATGTAACTATCAGATATGTTACCTGAGCAGTTCCGGCAGATGTTTGACTGCATAAGACCCATTCTGAAC